AGCTGGCTGCTGCTGCACGGTGGGGAGATCACCACGGACGGCTGGGGCGGCACACCACTGCACGACGCCGCCGAGAACGGCGAGCTGGAGGTGGGTGCTGGTGGCCAGTGGGATGTCAGGGCAAGGGGGGGCTTCCCTCCAGCCCTGTCATGCCCCCCCACTCTCCCCAGTGCTGCCAGATCCTGGTGGTGAATGGTGCCGACCTCAGCATCCGTGACCAGGATGGCTACACGGCGGCTGACCTCGCCGACTACAACGGCCACAACCACTGCGCCCAGTACCTGCGCACTGTGGAGAACATGGTATGGCAGCACCCAGGGCCGAGTGTGTGGGAAGCACACAGGGAGCACACAGGGCCCTACTGCCTGACCCCATGGCTGTGCCAGCAGAGCGTGGAGCACCGCGTGCTGTCGAGAGACCCCTCAGCAGATGGGGAGTGCCGGCAGCCTGACTCGGGCATGTCATCGCCCAATACCACGGCATCGGTGCCCCAGGCGCGCTTCGAGGTGGGCTCCCCTGCCAGCACCCTCTCCAACTACGACTCCTGCCACTCCAGCCAGTCCAGCACCGGGGAGAAGAGGGGTGGCCCCCCCGGGGCCCCTGCCGCCCGTGAGTGCGGGGCCGGAGGGCGCGGGGCGGGGGGCATGGGACCAGCCCCCCCTGACCCCCTGCCCTGTGCAGGGGTGCCTGAGCCGGCGCTGGCGGACATGCAGGCGTACATGGACATGCTGGACCCTGAGACGCGGCCGCGGGGCCGGGGCCCAGCAGGCGAGGGTCCCCCGCCGCCGCCACCCCCTGCCTTCCCCCCCCCACCTCCCCCACCCCCCACCACTCGGCCACCCCCACCACCCCCTGGCTACCCTGCACCTGCACCCCCCACCGCCCCCCACACTGCTGACATCTATGTGCGGGCCAAGAACAACCTGCGGCACGTGGAGAGCCAGGCGCTGCGCCGAGAGGTACGGCCCCATGCACGGTGTCCCCTGCACCGTGTCCCATGCACAGCTCTCGGGGGGGGGGACATGCCACCAGGCACCCATCCTCTCCGAGGAGCTGCTGCCTGCACTGGGAGGGGACAGTCTCAGCTAAAGGCTACATGCCTGCAACACTAGCACACACAGTGGGGGGCCTGGGGTGCAACCAGCAGCAAGGGAGCCAGCGATGCTTTGATGGCTCCGTGGCACTGGGCAGCCCCATTCAAACACTGTGCTGGCTGGAGCACCTGGCAGCACCGTGCCATGGCAGCCGCACCCATGCAGCCCTGGCAGTGCCACCAGCACCACACCGAGCTGGGCGTGGGCAGAGGCACAGGCGGTAACCCGAGCGGCCAGCTCCAGTGTCACCCGCGCCACAGGTGTCGGGTGGCACAGCCAGTGCTGCCAGGAGCTGAGAAGGCTCAGCCAGGCGTGCACAGGTAAGAGGGGTGCAGCCCCCCGTGGCGGGCTGGGGGTCACAGGGATGCAGTAGGTTCAGGGTTGCTCTGACCCCCTACCATGGTTCTCACCACCCCACTGGGGATGAGATTCCTGTGCATGGCCATGGCCCCATGGCCAGGGCACTGGCAAAGCCCAGCAGCACAGGGGATGGGGCATATGGGGTGGGGGGCTTGGTGGAGCAGTGTGTGACACGTGCATGGGGGACTCGGGATTTCATAGTGCTCGCTGTGCACAGCCCTGGCTCCTTAGCACTTACCAGGGTAATGGGCTGTCCTGGGGAGCTGCAGGTGTGTGCCAGAGCAGTGCCAGAGCCGTGTGGGTTCCTCATGCAATGGGGCTGGATGGCACGGACCCTTGCGCTAGACCGGGGCTGGGGCTGCTGGAGTGGGAGCTGGGCTTGGCACAGCGCCCACAGCAGCCGGAGCAGGAAACACCAAGCTGGCACTTGTTGACTTAGCTGGGGCTGGCAGCGGCAGCAAGCACCTGGGCTCACTGTGAAAATGCCATGGGTGGAGGTGGCTCATGGGGAAATGTAGATAGTGGGGGCCCTGGTAAGGGGAGCTGTGGCATCCCAAAATCAGGAAACAGGCACAGCCCCCTGCAGTGCCGGCACTCGGCAGCAGCACAACCCGAAAAGCTGCTGTGGAATGCACCGGGGTGAGCCGAGGCTGCATTGCCTGAGAGCCCTGTTCAGAGGGAAGTTTGGAAACGGGCCCCAGCCCCGCGCGGGATAAGCTCCCGGTAATCCGCGGGGCTGAGGCTCGGCACTCCTGTTCCCAGGGGGTTATCCCAGGGGAGGCTCAGCCAGGATTCTGGGCACAGGCTAAGGGGTCACAGTGCCAGGCACTGATGCCACACACTGTCACTCTGGCATGCAGCCCCGGTACAGCCGTGTGCAGAGCAGACCCTGGGCACGCACCTGCCATCCCCACCAGCCCCGCATCTGCCCCACAGCCACTGCTGGCACAGCCCTGCTCCACCACGGCTCTGCCCCATGGTCACAGCCAGGCACAGTAGTACTGAGGTGTGCTCCCCGTTGCAGCTGGCATCGCGTGACACCAGTCCTGAGGGTCTGCGCAGGGCTGACTCCAGCAGGCGATCGAGGAATTTCGGCAAACAGCCGAGCACCGGTGACTACTACAAGCACCTGGGGCACGTCGCGGCTGAGCAGCCCGGCCCCCGTCGAATGGCGCACAGCGAAGAGGTGAGCCCTGTGCCACGAGCCCGTGCACGGCTCACTGGCACCGGCACCACGCGACGCCTGCCTGTGCTTTCTCCCAGGCATCACCCATCTCGGCAGACACCATGCGCAATGGGGAGAGCAAGCCCAGTGCCGAGCTGCCTTCCCCACCGCCACCCCCACCACTGCCTGACAACGCCTGCCCGACGCCCCCCCCACCACCTCCGCAGGCCGAGACCCCCGCCGGCCCCCGCCGCTCCTCCTCCTCCACGGGAAGTAAGTGGCGGGGTCACGAGTGGGCATGGGGAGTGATCTCGGGCACTGTCCCATTGGCTGCACTGTGGCACCAGCCATCTTGGCACATCTCCTCCTGTGGCACTCTGGCCGTGTGGCTCCTGATGGCCTTTCTGTCCTTCTCTCCTCCGGTGTCGGCGCGGGGGCCCTCACGCCCGCTCGCCCCTTCCTGCTCTCACTGCTGGCCGCTTCTCTTCTCTCTTGTCTCGCGGTGGCCAAATCCTTCCTCTGCCACGTGCCCTGCGCCGCCTCTCTGCTTCTCTCCCTAGGAGGAAAGGCGCTCAGGCAGATGAAGAGTAAGTACCGCGGCCCCGCGCTCCTCCCTGCTCAGGGGGTGCCCTGGAGCGGGGCACAGCCAGAGGGGCCTGACCTGGCACTGTCCCGTGCTGCAGCCACAGGACATTGGCGGCTGCCGGGGCCAGTGACTGCCCGCAGCTCTCCTGCTGCCAAGCCCTCTCTGCGCGTCGGTGGCCAGTGGTGCCATGCGGGAGGCCGAGCGCTGGTGCGGGGCTGCCGAAGCCACCAGGCAGGGCTGGCAGGGCTGGGCAGGCAGCCGGGGCCCCACGGCCCCGCACACAGAGGGCCTTTGTTTGCGCTCAGCCGGCCAGCGTGACCCCGCCACGTGAGCGCACCGGCCGCTCCCCCGCTGCTGACCACAGCCGGCGGGCTTGGCCTTCGCTCGGCACCCGCTTTATTAGCGCCGGCTCCTGGGGCTGGGGGGTTTCAGCCGGCGCTGGATGGCAGCGTGCGTGCCCCGCTGGGCCGTCAGCACCCGCAGCCCTCTGGCCCCAGCGTGGTGCAGCCAAGCGGGGCAAGCTGCGGGCACCAGCCGCGGGGAAGGGGCTTTGCCTTGGCACGGCACCATGGGCTGCTAGGGACACACGCATGGCTGGCACAGACGGTGGGTGCTCGCAGGGCGGGTGGCACGAGCAGTGGCATGAGCATCCTCGGGATGCTGGTGCCATGCAGCCCTCTGGGCTCTGGGCTGGCAGTGGGGCTGTCTTGGGCTGTCGGTGCATCGCTGCTGGGGGCTGCAGGGGACTGTAGGGGCTGTTCTGCAGTGCCAGGGTTGCCACTGGCCATGGAGTCTTCCCTCCAGAGGCAGGTCACTGCTGTCACACACAGCACAGTGCTGCAGGGGCAGGGGGTGGCACTCAGGGCTGGGGCTGTGCTGGAGCTGCAGGAGCTGGGTGTTGGTGTGCTGGGGTGCTGCTCCAGCAGGGTGCCATGGACGCAGTAAGCTGGTGTTGGAGTGCTGGTCTTATGGGTCTGGGGAGCTAGGATGACAGGCTGTTGAGTGCTGGGGGGTTGCTCCAGTGGGGTCCCATGGACCCAAGAGTTGGGTGACATGGAGCTGTTCCTATGGGCTCGGTGATCTGGGTGTCGAGATGCTGCTCAATGAGGTCCCAGGGGCTCCTGGATGGTGGGGGGGCAGACACCCCTCCACCCCTGTGCCCTGAAAACAGATGGGGGATTCAGAGGGACAGTAGCTGCTGCTGGCAGGGCACTTACTACTCATTCTGCCTCCTCTTAGGCACGAAGTCCTTCAACATGATGTCCCCCACCGGTGACAACTCAGAGCTGCTGGCCGAGATCAAGGCTGGGAAGAGCCTCAAGCCAACTCCGCAGAGTAAAGGTTTCACCACTGTCTTCTCCGGCAGCGGCCAGGCAGGGGCCAACGTAGGTGGTGAGGGGGGCCTGGGGAGCCAGTGGCACAGTGCCGCACAGCATGGCAAGTGCCCACCACCCTCCCTCCCTCCTTCCACAGGCAGAGTCGCCAGTGTCCTCCCCATCACCCACCAGGACGCCCACCCCACCAGCCACCCCCGAGGCTGCCGGGCCACCACGTTGCCTGGCAGGGGGCTCGCCAGAGCCGGTGCTAAATGGGAGCTCACCAGTGCCAGCAGCAGGTGCTGGGGCGGCGGTGGAGGTAGAGGCGCTGGTGCCGAGCCAGGACGAGCAGGGCCGGCCCATTCCCGAGTGGAAGCGGCAGGTGATGGTGCGCAAGCTGCAGCTCCGCATGCAGGAGGAAGAGGAGCAGCGGCGCAAGGTAGGGGGGTCCCACGTGCTGCGGCGGCGAGCGCGGCGTGGGCATGGCCCAAGCAGCTCAGGACCTGGTGAAATGGTGTGTGTGGCTTCGCCTCCAGCTCCCAGCTGGTCTGGGGGGGACCACCCCACCTGCATGCAGGGGCATTACACCTGGGGATGCCACACATGGTGGCGGTGGCACGAGGTGCGTGTGGTACAGCCTCAAGAGCCCCTTTGCCCTCTTTCCTGCCACAGCCCGGGAGCCAGTCACCGCCGCTGTGCCGGCGTGGGCCACCTGCCCGCAGGGGCACGTCAGGACCTGCCGGGCAGCTGACATGGGAGGAGGACATGCAGCACCTGGAGAGGCAGCTGGGGAGCCTGCGGGTGATGCACGAGGTGCAGCCAAGGCAGCCGCTGCTGGGGCGGCCAGAGGAGGAGCTGCCACCATTCGTGCCACGGTCCACCACCCCAGCACCCCAGCATTCTGCCCTTCCCCGTGAGGATGTGCCTGCCCACAGCAGCCAGTCCCCCACACTGCCGAGGAGCATGGCCGTGCCACCAGCCACTCTGAGGGGCCAGGAGGGCCCCAGGGCAGGGGGGGCAGTGGGCAGCCCTGGCGCCCGGCATGATGCTCGGCGTGAGATCCTGGGCTGCGGCGTCTCTGTCCGCAGCCTCAAGGCCAACTACGAGGGGCCGGGGGGGCCTCCCCAACCCCTCCCCAGGGTCACCAAGCGCAAGAGGGTGCAGCCACCTGGCAGCGCCCGCCAGCCCATCCTGGAGGAGGAGTATGGGGATGGGGCATTGCGGCGGAGCAGACCAGTGCTGCCAGAGCCGAGTAGCCCATGCAAACACACCAAGGGGTGCAAGGAGCGTGCTGTCTTCCTCTTCCTGGAGCACTGGAAGAAACGGGCACTTGCAGCTGTGCCTGGGGAGGAGCGGCCGCGGCGGCCAGGGAGGCGGCGTCCAGCGGCAGGGCGGCTGCTGGCCCGCTGGAGGAGTGTCGCCCGCCGAGTGCCAGGGCGTCAGATCCGGCGACTGAGCCGTACCACGGTGCTGTACTGGCCCCAACACTTCCTGCCCCACGTCGGTGGCTCACCCATGCCCCACGACAGCCTCCCACTCGACCTCTTCATGCTGGGCTACTTCCAGCTGCTGGAGATGCCACTCAGCCCCGAGGAGCGGCGCTTCCGTCACCTCCTCTGCTATGAGATGTTTGACCGCCTGGGCAGCCACAGCTGGCACCGCGTCCGCCGTTTCCACCGCACTGTGCTGGAGCAGGTCGAGGCTGGCCACCGCCACTGGCTTGATGGCTTTGAGGACCTTGTGCAGGAGTTTTTTGGGGATAACCCTGTGGCACCGGCAGAGAGCCTGCCAGAACCACTCCCCATGGCCCCAGAAGGGCAGGTGGCAGCTGTGCCGGTGCTGGTGCCAGAGCTGGGCGAGTTCAGCGAGGAGGACGTCTGCCGCTTCATTGACCGCAGCTTCTCCTTTTGGAAGGAGAAGGAGGCAGAGATGTCTGACACCTGAGCCCTGCAGGATGCTGTGGGCTGTACCAGCGGTGTGGCATGGGCGGGAAGAGCAGGCTCAGGGCGCAGCTGTGAGCAGCAGGACCTGGTGCCCGGGTGTGCTCAGCTGCCTCTGTGGCTCTGGCGGTGCCGTGGTGCAGCTCGGCTTGGCGGAGGGCTGGGTGTTGTTGTGCACGGCCCCGGGCCGAGGTTGCAGTGTGCTGCTTGCCGTGGCTGTGTGTTGTGTGGGAGATGCAGCAGCGGGGCTGCACTCCCCTCTGGTGTGGCATTTGTGGTGCTGGGGCAGTGTGGGCCCCCGCGTGTCGTGCAATAAAGCTGTGGTGTGCTGCAAGGGCTGGCCACGCCACACGCTCCTTCCTCCTCCCCGCGCCGGCGGAGGGCAGGCAGCGAGGGCTGCGTTGGCGAGCAGCGTGCTGGCAAATCCCACCAGCACCATGCCAGGAGTACGGCTCAGCCCAGCCGCCAGAAGGACGTGATGTCACGCACCAGGATGATGCTGTGGCCCCATGGTACCGGCAGCGAGGGTGGGCTCCCAGCAGCGCCAGTAACACAGCTGTCTATTGCAGGAGAAGGAGGAGGAGGCGCGTCTGGCCAGCATGCCAGCCTGGAGGAGGGACATCCTGCGTAAGAAGCTGGAGGAAGAGAGGTGAGCTGGGGCCGGGGGGATGTCGCACCCACTGGTCACTCCTGCAGCTCTGCTAACCCCAGTCGTCCCTTTGCTTTCACAGGGAGCAGAAACGGTGAGTGCCGCAAGCCCCTTCCCTGGGCAGGTGGGCACGGCGGCTCCGGCGGCTCTGGTGACCGTGGCGCCCCGTGCCCTCCACTGCTGAGCAGGAAAGAGCAGGAGAAGCTGAAGCGGGAGGAGGAGGAGAAGGAGAAGGAACAGTCGGAAAAGCTAAGGACTCTTGGGTACGATGAGACAAAGCTGGCGCCCTGGCAGCGACAGATCATCCTCAAGAAGGGGGACATAGCCAAGCACTAGCCACGCCACGCCTGGCTCTTCACGGCGGGAGGAGGCCAGCAGGTCCCCCCACGGACCATGATATGCCTCGGCACCCTCCTCCCGCCATGGACGGCCACATATCCCAACCTAGAGGAGCCCCCACCACCTCCCCAGGCACCCCTAGTCCCCATCCCACTGTCGCCAGCCCACCACCACCTCGTGCTGCCCTTTGCAAAGTGAGTTGCCGTGGGGTAGGGCACGCGGCTCCTTGTGCACTGCCCAGCTCGGCCGCTGCGGCTGGGCTCGCCATGCTGCCCAGCTCCCCGCACTCCCCACTGGCACTGCTCGCTGTTGCAGCATGCTCAACCCCACTCCTGCCCCTCCAGAGCCGCTCGAGGCTGGCTCCCGGCTCATCTCCACTCAGACCACCTGCCTTTCCAGCAATTAAAACTATAAATCTCGCCAGCAGTGCCCCTCGCCTTCCTGGGGCTGCCCACACCACCCCTACCCCAATACCATGCTTGCCCACTGCACTGCCCCCCTCGTCCACAGCACCACAATCATCCCCATCACCCACACCACCTGCATCTCTGCCAGCACACGCATCGCCCGTCACCTGTGGTGGCCACATCACCAGTGGTGGCCCTGAGGTCAGCAGTGCCTCAGTGCCTTGCTGATGCAGCCCTGCGAGGAAGAGAGGGGGCCGGCCGATGGAAAACACGCCACTTTATTGGGGTGAGCACAGGCACGCCCGGCAGCGGGCAGCCTTGAGAACTGTCCCATGGGTTTGCAGTGGGCTCGGTGCCCGCTCGTCCTGCGAGTGGCCAGGCAGCCGACCTGCTGGGGCGTGGGGTCCCTCCTAGCCCTGGGAGCAGGGGGACATAAATAGAGGGGGACAGTGGGTAGGAAGGGGACATAAAAGTGACATAAAATGTCTACACGGCATAAGTAACAATACTTAGGGGTATGGCACAGCAGAGGTGCCCAGTGAGATGTGAAGGTGCCAGGACCTCCCTGTGCCATGGGGTGACGCTGGGGGCTAGGGCCCCGCTGGCAGGCTCTGGCGCAGTGCCTCGGCGCAGCCGGCCAGCTCCATGCGCTCCAGCGCAGCAAAGACACGGTCCAGCGTGGCGCTGGTCTGCTGGCACCAGCGCTTCAGCATCTCGTACTGCTGGTCACGGATGTGGGCCACCTCCAGCTCTACCAGCTCAATCTCCGCCTCCCGCAGCTCCAGCATCCGCATGAACTCCTTCCAACGCCGTACTGGCACAGCGTCGATGACAGCATAGAGCTGGCTGCCCTGCAGCAGGGCACTGCGGGGCTCCGGTGGGGCAGAGGGCTCCTCCTCGTCGCTGGGCTGCTCACGCAGCAGGGCCTGGTGCTTGGGGCTCTGCCTCACCGTGACAGTGGCACGATCTGTCCCCTGTGGGGAGCACGGCTGGGTCCAGCACAGGCTGTTCCACCCTGGGACACTGAACTGGCACCATGGTGTGGCCACAGCCCCAGCCATGGAGGTGCCTGCCTGTGCTGTGGGCAGGGGACCAGGTGCCAGGGCATCGTGCCGGAGCCTCTTCCTCTTGTGGTAGATGGCAAGGGCACCCAGGAAGAGGGGCCCGGTGAGTCCCAGCAGGATGTACTCCAGACCTGAGTCTGCAAGGAGCAGCAGGAGTGTTCTCATCAACCATCCAGCACGATGATCCCACACCAGTACCCCCAGCTCCATCACCCCCATACCTTGGCCACTGCTGCTGCTGCCACACACTTGCTGGCACTCTTTGCTGCACGTGTCCAGGGTGCTCCTGCAAGGAGAGGGGAGCCATGGGCACCATGGTGTGCCATGCCACAGGCCCCACACCTGTCCCCAGCTGGGACACAGTGAGGGTCAGTGCTTACATGTGGCACGGCCGGCACTCATCGCCCTCGGTGTAGAAGTCAGGTTTGCAGCTGCTCTCACAGAGTGTGTCCTGAGTCTCTGAGCCTGGAGAGAGGGTGGGCATGAGGGAGGGTGGCACAGCCAGAGGTGGCACAGCCAGCAGGGGCGGCTGGCAGCACTCACAGGGCTGCTGGATGAGGCGCCCAGTGCAGGGTTGGCACTTCCGACATGAGAACTCGCTGCAGCTCTTGTCGAGGCAGACACGGAAGTATCCGGGATCACAGCCACAGGCAACGTTGCTGGTGGCCGAGCAGTTGCTCAGAACACTCTGGAAAGCTGCAGAAAGCAGGTAGTGAGTGGCACAGCACTGCGCTGCATGGCACAGCACAGCATGGTGTGATCCCAGCTCACCTTGTCGGTCACACTCGTAGCAAGCCTGGCACTCTGTCAAGGTGTTGGGCTGGGAGCGGAAGGTCCCGATGGGACAGGGATTGCAGACCCTGTCGTTGTGGCTTGTGCAGGGCTTGTGCAGGTATGTCCCTGCAGAGTGACAGGAAGCATGGTCACACGGGGTAACACACCTGTTGCCACAGTGTGCCATGCCACGCCACACGGGCCAGGCAGCACTCACCTGCAGGACACTGGCGACAGCACTGGTGAGTACGCTCGATCCAGTTCATGCCAGCAGGGCAGGGGTGTCTGGTGGCATGTCTCCGCAGGCGGGTGAGTGGCTGCACCAGGACCCGCTGTCCTCGCAGCACGGTGTGGTTCTGCCACCCCGGGGGCTGTGATTTGCTGGCTGCCAGCCCCAGCACTGCCAGGATCACCTGTGGGCAAAGAGAGAGCAGGGCTGCGGGCAGCCAGGGTGCCCCAGGAGCCATGGACCCATGGGGGATGGCCCTCACACCATGCTGCACTCCCAGCCACATATGATGGGCTACTGGAGCCAGAGCCAGGTCCAGTACCATGTGGACATCAGTGCCTGTGCAGGGCAGAATGGCTGGATTGGTGGCCCTGTGCCCTTGAGCTGCGCGGGTGTGCTGCCTCAGGGCAGGGAATGCCCCGTGGCAGCCCCTGTGCACTGCCTTTCCCGCCCTACAAGAGCAAGCCACTTCCTGCTGGCCCTGTGGGGGCCACTGTGCCACAACCTGTGCCCAGATGGCTGCTGTCAGGTGCCCCTGTGCGCTCTGCAAAGGGTGCTTCCAGGCTGGTTGGGGAGTGGTGCCGGGAAGCAAGACCACCTGTGACGACAGGAGCCCTGCCGTGTCCCCAGGGATGGGGACGAGTGAGTCGGGTGCGCTGCTGGTGGTGCCATGGATTGCAGGTCCAGGGAGTTGTCGGCAGCCAGGCGCGGGGGGGGTTAACTCTGCCAGCTTAAACTTTCCTGGGGTTTATCTCCCTCGCAGAGGAGGTGATTTCCGCCCCTAGAGGAAGCCGTGCCTGGCTCACACTCTCCCCGATGCTATCACGCCTTGTGTGCGCGTCCCAAAGTAGGTCACAGCTCCCCCGCGGGGTGCCAGGTGCTACACGCAGGGCAGCCCCTCTGCCCAGACAGCCCCGGGGGGGCGGCGAGGAGGTGCCCACGCTGATACCCCTTCCACGGGCAGGGCAGGGACCCGGGAGGGCCGTGGCGCTGGCAGTGTGGGCAGGAAACCAGGGGATTCCTCGCTGGGGGCTGGATTTCCCAGCCGTGATGGCCCCGATTACTGCAGCTGAATCATTTTCTGCTAAACCCGCCGCCACCGGCAGACTGGAAACCGCGCTGGGCCGCCCGCACGCAGAGCAGGGCGGCTGCCGCAGCCCCGGCTGCCAGCGGCACGTCTGAGTCAGCGCCGAGGCACGGCCCCGTCAGCACACCCTGCCCGCAGCCCCCCTGCAGCCCCCGGCCGGCGCGGGGAGCAGGTGCCCGGCGGGCAGGGGAGCGGTGGGCGCGGAGCAGCGGCGGGCACGCCTGTGGCCGGCTGCGGGTGGGCACAGACACCGCTTCCCACCGCCAGCGCTGCTCCCGCCCACAGCGCGGCCCCTGCTCCCCTCATCCGAGTGCCGGGACAGCCACTCCCCAGCCCCGAGGGCAGCCCCACCGCCGGCAGCGTGACCTGAACCCGCGGGCTGTCGGCACAGCCAGTCCTCGTGGCACTGCCCTACCTGCTGCCCCGTGACTGAGCCCACACTCTCCACGACCGCATTGTGTCCGTGTCTGCGATCTTCGTGGCTGTGCCGTGCCTGTGGCCCCTGTAGCCAAGCCACACCACGGGTGCTTTGGTGCAGCAGAGACCAGTCCCAGATGTTAGCCAGAGAGGCAAGCGTGTTTGGCACGTTTGGCACTGGAGTTACTCCACCTTCCTCCCTCCCTCCTCCAGACCCATTTCAGCCACGGCCCTGGGGCACCCCACAGCTGGTGCCAGGGCTCCACGGGACCCGCATGCCGGCACACTCACCCAAGCCACCCCAGGGCAGCAACACTTCATCCTTGTGGCCGATGTGGTTGGTTCATGCCAGGGCAGTGAGGGGACCAGGGTGGCGGGCGCGGTTGGGTGTCAGGGCAGCTCAGTGCTCAGGCAGGGTGCCCCGGCACCCCATGGCCACCGCCAGCAGCACGCGACGCGTGGTGAGTGAGCACCAGCCCTCCCCACACAGGCTTTTACACCCAACCGCAGCAGGAGGAAATGCTTTTTTGGAAATGAGTCCAGGGGATATGAAACCACATGACAGGAGCGCCGCCGCCCT